ACCAAATCAATAATGCAGTTGAAGATCATTTCAACCAAAACTTTTGGAGTTATAAAAAAAACCTTACTGATATGAATGATTTGAATCTATATAGCGTATAATTTCTTCAAATCGAAACAATCAAAACGGAAGTATGTTCGACTATCTTACCTACTTCACTACATCATGAGCATATCTAATCGATAGTATTCGTAGTTTTTTAAATGTCATTGATGTAATAATGTATCAGTGGTTGTTAAAAACTTTCCCCGATGCTGATACAATGGGACTGAAATATTTTACCGTTGCCCTCATTCCAGTTGCATTAAATGTACAATATTTGTCAACTGCTTTCTATCCAGCTTGCAACTTATATAAAATTTCAAGTTATTCAATTTCTGGGAATGTTCGACACAGGATTGCACCTGTCCATTTAATGTCTCTTGGAGTAATCAAACTGTCATTTCTATCTTAGTTTACTTTGACAAATGACAGATTTGTTCTATGTGTATGCAAGTGAGCATTTATTAGATTCAGTTTAACTGCACTGTTTCCATTTAAAACAAGTATTTTTTAGAACATTCACACATGCTGTTTTAAAGGTATTGCCAGCTTTTAGAGTTTGTGATACGTTTCATAACATTCGAAGCTAAATCAATTTAAATGATAGATTAGCATACGAGTTATAAAATTTATTTATCTCAATGTTGGGCACATTGGAATGTATCAATCATCAATCGTTAGACACAGCAATTGAATAAGAAACAAATTAGAGTTTTCTCTACGCTCTCATGTGTCAAAGTGATGTGCTGATGTATATTTTGAGCTAGTCGTTCCTTGTTCATCGTGGTTAATGAATTCCTTTGGTCGTCTTTGATGGAGTCACAAAATGATAACTGTTTTTGTAATATAATTTCGACATATTTTCTAGGCCTTTCGTTATTGAAGCTCACTTGTTTTTTACCGACGAAACGATCGCCTGGCGTACAAAATTATTGATGAGGTTTTTTCAACTACAATTTAATATCATTACATAAGGATAACATTTTGTCTTTATTATTGGGATGTTAACAATGTTGGTTCGGGACTTGAACATTTTCCATCGAAATACTTAAGATATAATGTCTTAAATTATTCAAAAATAAACAGGCTTGTTAAAGGCCGTTCGATGACCTGTAGTTTCATACTTCTACTTCATTTTGTCTCCAAGTCAATGTAAAAGGAAACGGCTTCATAATATGCCGGATTAATTAATACTCCATAATTTGTAACTTGCATAAAACATTTGTTATCTGGGGCATTAAAACGCGTTTTTATATGACAATAGAGTGTCTGTACAAGAATATTGTATAACCATGAATTTGATTTAAGATACTTTATTGTGTAATTGAACACAAATCGGATATGATTAGAAACTAATTGAAATAATTTGGATGGGAACATGTTAACAGATCAATAGGACATTGTAGCTAAATAGAAACGAACGTTAAGCTACAAAATAGAACCCATTTAAACATTTCAAATGCCAGATTGTTAACTTTTTAGCGACAATTATCACCTCTCATTTTAGCGACAAAAAATAAATCCATGTTTTTCCTCATTTAGAACATAAAATATTATAATGATACAGTTTAATCTGAAGCAGTGCAATGAAAAAATGTAATAATCATTTAGATGTAGCGATGACAGTCTAAATACTTTTCACATTAACCAATGATCTCATTTTCACCATCCGTTTCAGAACTAAAATGTTACAAATCAATTCTAGCGTCGAAGTTATAGTCAAGTGATATTATATAATCCGTCTACAATATCTCTTTATCATTTCTGTATTGCGATAGTACCTAACCGTTCTACAATATCTCTATCATTTTTGGATTTCGATAGTACATAACCCTTCTACAATATCTCTATCTTTTTTGGATTTCGATAGTACATTAACTTTCTACAATATGTCTTTATCTTTTCTGGATTCTGATAGTACATAGTTCATAACCCTTCTACAATATCTCTTTGTCTTTTTTGGATTTCGATAGTACATAACCCATCTACAACATCTCTTTGTCTTTTTTGGATTTCGATAGTACATAACCCTTCTACAATAACTTTTGATCTTTTTTTTAATTCGATACTACATAACCCATCTACAATATCTCTGTGTCGTTTCTTGATTTCGATAGTACATAACCCATCTACAATATCTCTTTATCTTTTCTGGATTTCGATAGAACATAAACCTTCTACAAAATCATTTTATCTTTTTTGGATTTTGATAGAACATAACCCTTTAACAATATGTCTTTATCTTTTCTGGATTTCGATAGTACATAGTTCATTACCCTTCTAAAATATCTCATTATATTTTTTTGATTTCGATAGTACATAACCCATCTACAATATCTCTTTATCTTTTCTGGAATTCGATAGTACATTAACCTTTTATAACATATCATTATCTTTTCTGGATTTCGATAATACATAACCCTCCTACAATATTTCTTTATCGTTTTTGGATTTCGATAGTACATAACCCCTCTACAACATCTCTTTATCTTCTCTGGATTTCGATAATGCATAACCCTTCTACAATATTTCTTTATCTTCTCTGGATTTCGATAGTGCATAACCCTTCTACAATATCTCTTATATTATTTTGGATTTCGATAATACATAACCCTCCTACAATATGTCTTTATCGTTTTTGGATTTCGATAGTACATAACCCCTTTACAACATCTCTTTATCTTATCTGGATTTCGATAGTACATAACCCTTCTACAATATCTCTTTATCGTTTCTGGATTTCGATAGTGCATAACCCTTCTACAATATCTCTTTATATTTTTTGGATTTCGATAGTACATAACCCTTTTACAACATCTCTTTATCTTATCTAGATTTCGATAGTGCATAACCCTTCTACAATATCTCTTTATATTTTTTGAATTTCGATAGTACATAACCCTTTTACAACATCTCTTTATCTTATCTGGATTTCGATAGTACATAACCCTCCTACAATATGTCTTTATCGTTTTTGGATTTCGATAGTACATAACCTTTCTACAACATCTCTGTATCTTTTCTGGATTTCGATAGTGCATAACTCTCCTAAAATATCTCTTTATCTTTTTTTAATTCGATACTACATAACCCTTCTACAATATCTCTTTATCTTTTCTGGATTTCGATAGTACATAACCCTTCTACAATATCGCTTTATCTTTTCTGGATTTCGATAGTACATAAACTTTCTACAAATATCTTTATCTTTTCCTGATTTCTTTTCCTTAAAACTATTTGTCGATATAATAATGCACATACTTTACATATAACAACTTTCTTTCTTTAAATTGTGCTACCAACATTGATTTCCATTTTTTTTAAAAACCAATATAAGTATTGTACATCTTGGTTAGTTGTCGCTAAAATGAACTATCCAAAATACAGGTGAACGGATTATTTGGTGCTACAATGTGCTTTTGTGTCAGTGCTAAATTATTCACTTGTTTTGGTGTTTTTGCAAAAATGTTCTGCGCCCAAACCTTAATCTTCCTCTCCTTATAAACACAAATATCACAATGGCATACAAATTATAATGTACATGTACATAGAGAGGAACTATAAATCAGTTACTAGCTATAATCACAATTTTTTTTTAAATGTTTGTGCAAAAGAAGAACAACAACTTTAAAGTTTTAATCTCATTTTGGATCAAATGCAACGTTAACTCACTTCATATTAACTTTCTTTTCGTAAAAGTCAACTACACCAGATTCAAATTACTTAAACCTTTTTCGTTGGTTTAATCTTTATACAGTGGAATAGTTTGAATTTATCTAGTTGTAATCAATAATCAAATGCTTCAAACAACTGAACAAAGATAGTTACATGCAAAACATAGTATGTGCATTTACATTAGGAAAGAGATGATTGATATATCTTGGTGTTTGCTGTTAGATATGCTCTACTTCTAAAGTCAATGGATAAATAAAATACGAACGGAAGGGTTGTGAGGGCAAAATATATCACGAGGACAATCAAAAGTCATTTATAAATATAAACAGACAATAATATGACCAGAAATAAATACGACCCAAACCCAAACACTCCATGTCAACTAAAGACTGAGCAACACAAATCCACCAGAAAACGTGGTTGATCTCAGGTGATCTGGAAAGGTAAGCAGATACTGCTTTGCTAAGTATTGTATAACGTACGTTACAATAACATTTTGTTCGTGAAAGAATAGACTGGTTCGTTTAACAATGAAATTGTCATCACATCAATTGTTTTCAAAGTACATGTATATAACATAAGGAGATGTGATATTATTGTCAATGAAACATTTGGCCAACAGAGTCCAAATTAGGCAGATTTTTATCTAAAACAACTAAAGGTCTTAAACAATAAGCAAAATCCATGCCCTATAGTCAGCTATACAGCTCCCCGAAATGACAATAACATAAACTAACCGCCTGATGCACAACAAAACAAAAAACAAATAATAAATATTACAGACAGTTATCAACGACAAGTATTGAATTTCAAGTCCATGACAAGGAACAGGCACATATAGAATGTGACAGGGTTAAACATATTTTGAGCGCCCAGCCTCCAAACTGGTAACCTGTGACATTCAGTTACAGCAAAACATAATAACAACCTGTACATGTCAGTTGAAAACTGGTAGACTCAGCAGATCGGGAAGAGGCACAATAAACCAATAACATAAAGACCAAAGACAAAAAATAAGGCAACAGTAGTTTACCGATGTTCAAATCTCATTAATTGCTAAAAAAGATAAATCAAGGTTACAAACAAAAGCTGAGGAAATCGCATTAACTCAAAAAGGAGCAAAAACAGAGTAAACGTCTCATGCTATATATGCATCACCAGTCATGCTAATCTAGTTCAAAGCCAATAACAAACTAGTAAATAAATCATGTTCATATATACTAAATCTGGTCATTTCAAATTATACATTTTTTACAAATTGTGATCTTCTAAAGTTGACCTACCTTTCTGCTGTCGTCTGTTAGCACGATCCCGTGCACGTTTACAACTATCTAGCTTTATGCCTCGTGGTGTTCTGGCAACTTCCACTCCTTCTGTTAACTTTTGATGTAAACATTCATGCACCAAAGTGTCAATTGCTTCAAACGAATTTCCATTTTTAGCATCATCGTCTTCAACTTTAAGTTCTGCCATATTGTAACTGCGATCATACAAATTCCCTTTAGCAGCGTAAAAATAACTGTTATTTAACTGAAAATTATCAGAATTAATGATCAATTAGGAAACAAAACCTAGTGCAGTCCTATAGGTTCCAATAGATTATATAATCCATTATCCAGAAAAAAAAACTAACAAATCATCTGCGTATTCACTCAAATTTTCACAGTTAAGAGACAATGATTTTAAAATATTTATCAGTAGACTGAGTGATAGCGCATCACCTAATTGATCTGATTAAGATGTAATCTATCGTGATACTCTCTCACAGGTCGGAAATTAATATCTTTATATTGGTGCTGCAAGTCAGATGGACAATTAATATGTCCTCTAATTGTTCGGTCAATACTCTTCTTAAATGGAAAATGTTTATACTATGTATCGATAAAAATAAGATGTATATAAATCTTATTTATCTCGATCTAAGTATTTTGTTTCAATAATATTTTATTTCAAAATATAACGATGAAAAATATATTTCGTTATTGTAAATATACAGTATTAAATTACTAAACAGTCTTTTGAATAGAATGGAATCCTTTACATAATTATGGAATTGACATCTGCTTGTTGGTATAACATTTCAGTACTTGTTTTTTTCTATCAAAATTCTCTTTGAAATGTGTCGCTACTTTTAAAAGATTAAAAAAACACCTGCAAGAAAGAGTTCCTTTAGGTTATAAGTAAGTTTAAGTTATCATTCGAACGTATTCCATACACAATTATATATTGATCATTAACGAGAATCAGTTTTATAAATGAGCACATATATCCTCCTTTTGTCTTGGTTTCAATCATGTTCTTTTGTCTTTGATCGTGCCATATAAATATATTTTTGTAGCACATATAATAAAGAGATGTTGTATTAGAAAACTGAACTTAAATGGGACAGTGCTGAGGCGGCGAAAAGCAAACAGCAATCAATCAATTAAATGGGACAGAAACTTTAATATCTGATATTTCTGAGATCACGTCCTTCGATAATAAGTGCTGTGTATGGTATTATTAATAATCCATTTGTTTACTTTATAATAATATCAACCAGCAAACAACGTTCCAGATATAGTATATTTCACCCACATGTTTTTTGTTCATATTTAATGAAAACATTGTGTTACTATTTAGAAATCTATCCGTTGATATAGAAAAGAAGATGCCAGGGGAAATATAAACTCGTCACTGAAACAAGAACTTATTTAAATAAAAGTGAGCAATCCGCAGAAAACATTTCACAGAAACCAAAGGATTGATAAATGTGAATAAAATAAGTAGATGATATGTCACTGAGACAGCAACCCTAACAAAACAAAATCATTTGGTGGACCTAAATGTTGCGTACGTTCTCGTTAATAGACAATTGTCCTTACAATACCTCAAGTTCTATGTCACATCTTGTCTTAAACATATAGATAAATTAAACAGAGGCTTTCAAATATTTGCCACAAATATCTTATTCCATAGATGACAAATTACGTAATTATAAAGCAAGCGAAATGCAAACACTGACGAGGTTGCTGACTTAAGAAGTGCGAATTACAATAAGGCGAGGTTGTAAAGCATCTCTAACCATATCTCATTATTCATCCATCAGCTGAATAACAAAAGGTTCACAAAAGAAATTTAACGTATAATAAATAATCAGAAAAAGTAACGTATCTTTGTGATACGGTTTTGGTCGACAATAAAAATATAAAACATCCTATGAATCATACAGTAGACTAACTTAGTTGAATAACGCATTCGTTAGCCTTTTAATGCATTTTGATTGTTTACTTCTTCCACCTTCAAACATGGCAGCTATTATAACTAGAAATATAACATTTGATCAAAATTAAAATGAAAATCCTTAAAATAGATTACAAGACCAATTTCTTTTAAACTTTATTGGATGGCCGCCACAATTACTTAAATGATTTTATACCAAACAAAATGGTGAATATTTGAATAAAGCAAGTAACACAATTGCTGCATTATTTTTGTTAAATGGTACATAAATAATCCCCCCTCAAAAAATCATTAAAGATACCTGGCTTGTAATGTGCAGATGGTACGCTAAATGGAGACGCGCGTTTCGACCAAATATGACTTGTCAGTGGCGCTCGATTCAAGACAGTTGGAAGGTCAAATTAATTAATTATTAAGTTAGGAAGTATCAAAAATCGACAATTCCGAAAAGGAGTACCACATATTGCTTTTATTTGTCATCTTAAAACCGGGTCTTTCGCAACATTGTTATTTTCTAATCGAATTCATAATGCAATGAGAAAGATTAAAAATATCAATATAGAACCAGTTATCTTCTTCTTAACTTATTGAATAGGTTTCATAGTGCACATTGAGTGGTAATTGCTGACATTTGGGCTATCTCCAGATACTAGTAATTGCGTAATGTTCTTTATAATTTCAAATTTCTTTAAGATATGATGCTTTCTGTACTTACTCCATTAATCGTTTAAAATAACCCACTGGTATTTTAAATAATATATAAACTTTCTTTTCTATTATGTGCGTATATCAAATATTTTGACACTAATCATTTTTCAATCAGAGATAGATAACATGTGTTCTGTGGAAGTTTTTCGTGATCTGATTATATGCAACATCTTATAAAAACCAGTTATATATTCTATATATTCTACTATTCCGTCGCATTGATCCGATACTTCAAACTGTCCTTCTGTTACGAGTAGCGGTTATTTCAAAATATTAATTATGGTTAACACGGAGGAATCATTTAGCGAAGAACTAATGGTTTAAAAAAACACGTCGTTTACAAATTATGGCAATAGGTTAGTAAGACGGCAGTATTTTGAGCAGGGACATAATCCTTACCTCAATTTGTTGGCTTACTGTAGCTCTTATTGCAACAAGTACTGATCTGCGTCAATGCGAATACTATTGTGCCATAAGCCTTGTGTCCGACGTGCTTCCCTGCAATAGAGACAGAGACAGTGCTGCTCAATTATCTGGGTTAATTGTGTGTCCTATATTCATTCATTAACATTCACGCAGTTTAGAACATATCAAAGGCCCATATTTGTAATTGTAAAACACAAAAGAAGCAGCAGGATTGAAAATATACAGATAAATTTGAACAATACACAATCATATGTTCGAAAACATTTTTTAAACACTTCTACATTTCAAAATAGACTCACCTCGATTGCTAAATTTATCGATATACATGTATTAAAAGAAAATTCTACAGCTACAACTGAAACATATGCATACTAGATTTTTTAAAATACACACAAGATTTTCATTACCCACCAAAATACACCACTTGTTGTGTACTCTTTTTTGTAAAACCAGCAGCTTGGACTCTTGCGCGATCATATGTAACCTCGTAATGAAGTTATTGAAATTTAGCTATATCGCTTTATTAGGAAATATAACTAGAAAAATTTAACCGTAAAGTACTATTGGAAATAGTTAGACCTATATGAACAGACGACAGAAAAGTAATTGATATATATGGCCGTGCAGATGTCAGCTAATGAACGTCATCCAAAATTAGAACAACGCGTCTGTTAAAACCATGGGTTGAAGTACATAATTCCTTGTTAAGAGACATATCACAGGTGTACGGAATGGCACTTAAGGGGCTCCAAACATGTGACCTAGTGAATAAAAACCTATTCATTTGATACATAAGAGACAGCATTTATTTAAGTAGTTAGTTGGTGTTCTAATCTCGTAAATCCATTTCGAATATAGCCATCAAAAGCGAGAAAACCTGAAGGAAGAACTTTGACATACAAAATGAATGATGAAAAAATGCCTTGTTCAGAAAATGGTAATACAATTTGTTCACAAGTCTTCAATCATTTTCATAAAACTGGTTCTTTCAATACAGATTCAATACAGACTCAACCCAAATAAATTTAAAAAGATACACTGACCCAATCAAATAAAATGTAACCGTCCTTATAGATAAATATATAATCTTACACTGTTCAATTCAGAGATTAGCTTTAGTATTGCATAATAGACTGATATGTCAATTTGAATCAGGCTTACTAGTAAGATAGAAAATCTAGTATCTTATCATGATGAATGTTGTGTCGAAGGTTTAAATTCATATTTTGTGCGTGGAAAGGAGGGGTCTCTTTTAGATAGATTGGTGTTATCCTAAAAGTCTTGAGAAAAAAAATAATTCGTTTCAGAAGGAAAGTGTTTGTTTCTATAGCACATTATCACAAAAAACAATATTGAGTTTCAAATAAATTAGTTTATATTTTAAGTATTTAATTTGAAACTCAGTGTGTTTGTCTCGAGTGGAAACCCATGCACACACCCTTTTTTCAACAAAAGAGTATTGGTCAGTGCCTAAGGAAAAAATATAAAAAAATCAAAAGTCCTGAATTCAAATCTTTTTGTGGTGTCAATCCTTCAAGTTATATTTGTAAAATTCTGTCAAACGGATACCGAGCCATCGGGAATGCATTGTTTATTGTTCTGTTACATAATTCATTCGTGGCATTTGCTATACAAGGAATTAATGGTTTTTTGAAATACATGTTATGTTATAATAAAGAGCTGGGATGGTGATAACATGTGTCTGTTCGACTTTAGAAATTATACCACCGTTAGTTGACAGCATATACTGTTTCCATGGTGATTTTATAAGCTTTCTCTTAACAGTAGATAATATAAAAAGCTACATAGAGAATATCATATGGCTTTTTCAATATCACATCCGTATCAACCTGAGACACCAATATAATCCCAAGAGCTCTGTTCGAGGGATAATATTGGTTGAGGGTTGATACGGTGTGTGATATTGAAAAAGCCATATCATATGTATACACTTTATTATATACATATACCTCACGTAGATGTTTTTATGTGACATGACGTCATACTGATAAGGAGGTTTGAAATGACGTCATACAGATTATAGGTTTGACATGACGTCATACAGATTAAGGGTTTGATAAAGCCTTTGCAACATTGCTGATATCGATATCATCACAGGTGGCTGATAACGCACGCTTGCCAATGATTGTATTACACATACAATTTATCTGTATTTACTACTAAGTATATAATAAATCAT